AACATTCGCAGCTTTGCAACACTTTGGCAATAGGGCACCAGTTACTATATCGGAGAGGGAAATATTCCCCTCTGAAAGCAGATCTGCCTCTATCTGCTACTCCTTGTTGTTCTAATCGACGTTTGCCGTGTCTGGGTTCCCACACGAGGTGCTATATTCTCAATCAGTTTGTCTAGCAGTGTCAGTTTTCTTTTCCGCAGCCCTGCATCTTTCGAGGCAGCCTGTGCCAGGAGAAAAAATAAATTCTTTACGTACTGCTGCCATTTAATCCTCACTATCCGACAAGCCAACTCTAGTGTACGCATTAAACCGTTGCTCTTGACCCTTCGTTCCAACAACTGTTTCTAAGAATGGTGGGAAGATTACCAGAGGCACTGGCGGCGAAAGCGGTAATCTCATTTTACTCGTATCGGATGGCTTCATTAGCAGGAGATGGTAATACCGAGATAATGGAACTGGTTAATCTCTTCAAGAGCTTCACTACCCTGTTGTAATGTACGTCAGCTGTGCCGGATGGGTTCCTTATAATTTGGGGCACAGAAATAAAATTCCTAGTAACGCAAAATTTCTGAATGCGATATTGTACAGCTTAAACAGCCTAACCCTCTACCATATATCAGCTTATAGGTAGAAAGTGCGTGATTTGCATATAACGAAAAAAATTGTACCGGGATAAAATTTCGCAAATTCTTAAAAACACGATAACCGAAATTCTGACAGCGCAAACGTATGTACTCAACCTGCCCCAGAGAACACTGGACTAATTCATGTTCAATTTTGAACTTTTTCTTAATCATGAAATTTTGTCTCCGCCACGTCTTACAGCTCTTGTACATATACCGGGCACGTACATCCGGCACATTTCATCATTCTCGTGTCAGTCCATGTCGAACATTGTAGCGGGTTGAAAATTTAACCGCCTTCAATTAGTATATCTACTGGCAACAAATGCCCGATTGCCTTTTAACCTACACAATCGTACAGTTTTCAAATTGGAAGTAAAGCAAAATTTCCGAGTCAGATCTTGTACAGTTTTAACAGCCTAACCCTGTACCATATATCAGCTTATAGGTAGAATATGCGCGATTCGTTTATAGCGAAAACAATTGGACCGGGATAAAATTTCGCAAATTCGTAAAAACATGCCAACGCCACACGTATGTACTCATCCTGTCCCACTGAACACCGGACTAATTCATGTTCAATTTTGAATTTTTTTCATGTTAAAATTTCGATCTCGGCAGATTTTACGGCTCTTGCACATATTCCAGTCATGTGTATCCGGCAGATTTCGTCATTCTACTGTCAGTCCATCTTCAACATTGTAGAGGGTTGAAAACATAACTATCTATAATTAGACCATCTGTTTGCAATAAACGCGCTATTACCTCGTAACCAGCACAAGAGAACAGGGTTAAAATTCCTAGTAACGCTAAATTTCTGAATCCGATATTGCACAGCTTTAACAGCCTAACACTTTACCATATATCAGCTGAAAGCGCGCGATTTGCTTATAACGAAAACTATTGCACCGAGTTCAAATTTCACAAATTCGTTAAAACACGCCAACCGAAATTCTGACAGCGCAAACGTATGTACTCAACCTGTCCCACTCAACACTGGACTAACTCATGTTCAATTTTGAATTTTTTTTAATCATGAAATTTTGACTACGGCACGTCTTACTGCTCTTCTGCATATACCGTGCACATGCATCCGGAACATTGCGTCATTCTACTGTCAGTCCATGTCGAACATTGTAGCGGTTTAAAAATTTAACCATCTACAGTTAGTATATCTATTGTCAACAAATGCGCAATTGCCTTGTAACCTACATAATGGCAGAGTTTCAGAATTGGAAGTAACGCAAAATTTCTGAGTCAGATATTGCACAGTTTTAACAGCCCAACTCTGTACCATATATCAGCAGTTTATAGGTAGAAAGTCTGCGATTTGCTTATAGCGAAAACTGTAGTACCGGGTTAAAATTTTGCAAATTCGTAAAAACACGCCAACCAAAATTCTGGCAACGTTACGCGAATGTTGTCAACCTGTCCCACTGAACACTGGACTAATTCAGGTTGAATTTTGAATTTTTTTTCACTATTCAGTTTCGACCCCGGCACGTTTTACTGCTCTTGTACATATATCGGGCATGTGCATCCGTCAGATTTCGTCATTCTACTGTCAGTCCATCTCGAACATTGTAGAGGGTAGAAAATTTAACTATCTATAATTAAACCATCCATAGGTAACAAACGCGCGATTACCTTGTAACCAACATTAGGGTACAGGGTTAAAATTGCAAGTGACGCAAAATTTCTGAGTCCGATACTGTACAGTTTTAACAGCCTAACCCTGTACCATATATCAGCTTATAGGTAGAAAGTGCGCAATATGCTTACAACGAAAAATATTTTACGGATTGAAATTCCGCAAATTCGTAAAAACACGCCAATAGAAATTCTCACAACGCCACACGTATGTTCTCAACCTGTTCCACCGAACATCGGACTAATTCAGGTTCAATTTTGAATTTTTTTTTTCATAATAAAATTTCGACCCCGGCACGTTTTACTTCTCTTGTACATGTTCTCGGCATGTGCATCTGGCAGATTTCGTCATTGTACTGTCTATCCATGTCGGACAATGTAGAGGGTAGAAAATTTAACTATCTATGATTACATCGATAGGTAACATACGCGCGATTACCTTGTAACTAACAAATGGGTGCAAGGTTAAAATTGCTAGTAAGGCAAGTATTCTGAGTCAGATATTGTACAGTTTTAACATCCTAACCCTGCACCACATATCAGCTAATAGGTAGAAAGTGCGCGATTTGCCTATAACGAAAACTATTGTACCGGGTTAAAATTTTGCAAGTTCGTAAGAACACGCCATCCGAAATGCCACACGTATGTACTCAACCTGTCCCACTGAACACTGGACTAATTCGTGTTCAATTTTGAATTTTTTTTAATCACGAAATTTCGGCTACGGCACGTCCTACTGCTCTTGTACAAATAATAAATGCGCTATTACCTTGAAACAAACATAATGTTACAGGGTTATATCGCAAGTACCGCAACATTTCTAAGTCCGACATGGTACAGGGTTAGGTTTCGCACCTTGTACGATATCTCAGTTTATAGGTAAGTAGTCCGCGATTTGCTTATAGCGAAAACTATGGTACAGGGTTAAAATTATGCTAATTCGTAAAAACGCGACAACCGAAATTCTGACAACGCCACACCTATGCTCTCAGCCTGTCCCACTAAACGCTGGACTAATTCAGGTTGAATTT